TTTTCTTTCTGCTACCTTTCTGTGATTCAGAAGACATCTAGATTCCCATATGGTTGCCATCAAATACAGCAGATGCCAAGCAAATTAAAACACAAGTTATGATTCGTAATATGCTGATGTATCATAATTGCAGCATAGCTCATAACTTAGAGTGAATCACCAGCTAAAGTAAAAGTTTCTGAGGTGTCAGTGCTTTTTATACATCTTTCAATTAGACCAGGGTCAGTGGAATCAAGTGTGGACTGAAAGTTAGAACTTTACAATAGTACACATCCATGGTTTCCATCAAGTATAAAAAAGCAGAGAGAACAACTAAAAACATCTCTTGGAACTAACAGTCAGCCTAAAACTGTCTTCCCAAAGTAAGGGGAAAAGAGAGGGAACTAGTTCTTGCCTTTTGTGAAGCAGGGCGGCCTACTTTGACCTTTTGCACCATACCTTTACCATCATTCTGCGTGGAAGGCAAAGGGGGAAGGAGGCATTGCTTGTTTGCCTGCTTTGAGTACAGGAAAGCATTCTATCTCCTCTAGTACAGCTTTATGCTCCACCGAGAACGGAGCAGAAAGGCTCATGAGGAAGCAGCGTCTATGGCAGCAGCTGCCAGCCGGGAAAGGTGGCACACGGAGCACGTGGTGCTTTAGCACCAGCAGCCCGGCAAAGGGAAACACTGCACCGCCTTCCCGCTTCAGATTCACATGCATCTGCGCCTGTTAGCTCTTTGTCCCTAAATATTACTGCGGTGACTGCCCAATGAGCTTTCCTTTTCCTCACCAGCACAGTAGTCTCATAGAATAAGCTCTTCTGAACAAACATTGCCAGAGTATTTACCAATTTTAACACTGAATTGACACAAGAAATTAAGCCCGCAAATATATCTAGAACATTAATTATGCATAGACTCAGCAGATAGTACTGTTTTCTACAACAGTATGAAACACATATTTAGGCAAGAATACATTACCTGGGCTGGTGCAAGCCTGAGAACTACCTCCTGTCACCTTTAGTCACAACTACACACACAGCATTGGAGTGCAATTTTTCCATATTCATTATCCTCATAATTCTGATGTGGTTTTTAAGGCATGAAATACCTGACCAACACAAAAGAAAATAGACAAAAGGGTCTGGCCATTTATTTTGCCCCTATTCTGTGGTATTTAAAGCCTCAGATTTTTGTAATAACTTCAGTTTAAGTAGCAAGTACAATCATTCCCTGCATAATTTCAGCAGATCTATAATATTCTGCTATTCAAAGCACTGACAATTTTCTTGTCAAAATCATTACTCTTCCAACTCAGCTCTCTTTATTTTTAGTCCATTGTTTTTATGATGCAGAACAGAGGTATTTTCTTTGTTTACATTAACATTTTAAAAGGTTTTGTTAAAACCACTATGTAATAACACTCAGATAGAAGGCCTAACAAGGTGTGCTCCCTGTTTGCAAGACCCTGGAAAGTGTCATGGGATTAGGATGATGACCTCTTCACCATTTCAGTCTATTTACAATGGCTACATTAGTGGCTATTTTTGATTATCACTTTCTGTAAACAACCAACTGAATTTGCAATTTTCATTTACAGCTTTTCTGGCCCAGTCATTGAGGAGTTTGCTATTACTTCAGTAAAAATAATATTAACATGTATTCAACAAGAATATCTGCCTCTGTTTTCCACTCCAAATCATGAGAGATGTGGTAATAAATGCAGGCTTTCTCATAAAGAGATTACAATATTCTAAAGAAATTACTAAACTCTCAAAGTGCTTGGTCTTCATGAATTTCAAGAAGTTTTGCCAGGAACACAAGTGAGACAATTAGCATTTTGCAAAAGAGGAAATCTGCAAGCAAGGGCCTCACATCAAGCAACTGGCAGAGTGGGTGATACACAATTATATTTTTTCAGGCTCTCAGATCAGCATTCCAGCAGTATAAAGCCTTTGGCCCATTCAGTATACAACACAGGCACACTTGCCATCATGCAGAAGCTACACTGCATCGGCCTCAGGAACACAGGAGTAAGAAAATCACTAGTTACAGAAAACCTCAAACATAACCACTTCCCCACTTGCACCATCCAAACATTCCCCTTCAGAGAATACAATGAAGGAAATTACAGGATTAGAGCTTTTGAGACACTGACAGTGTCTGAAAGAGCAAGTTAACATGGTTCTATATATTCCACCATAATCTCCCTCTCTCAATCCAAGGACACAGCACACAAGCGTTCCTCACACTACTAGCTCCCTGCTGAAAAATATCCGTGCTCACAGCAACATATGCCCAGCAAAATCAAAACAAAGAAACAGACAAGGGCAAAGAACCATGGCAAACTCAACCACTGAAACCTGGGCCAAGAGTACAACCACATCAGCTCTGTAGGGTAAAAATACTACAAAGCTCGCTACATCTGCCAGGGTCGGTCTGAGGCCAAGTAAACACTGACATAAAGCCACAGTCAGCTTCACTCTAGCTGCAAACCTTCCTGTTTAAGAGAAGTAATACAGTATGAAAGTGGACTTAATCAAAACTCCCATCCTTTCAAAACATCTTCTTCAGATATGTTTATTTTCCAGGAACAGACCTGAGGTTAGCTATGGATACCTGCTATCCATGTAACCACTGACCTCTGCTCTCCCCAAAGGGACAAACAGAAGCCCAGCACTGCCCAAAAGGTTTCTCTCCTCTGTTCTTCCCTACCTCCATCCATAACCTTCAAAGTGGTGTTGGGGCTTTTCTCCCCCAATTCTCCTCTCTAGTCCAAACAAGCCACTATACCAAATATGTATTCAACTTGCTTCCAAAGGCCCTCAAAAACACATCCACACTATCTGGGTTTGATCCAGAACTGGGCTCGATGATCCTGGTGGGTCCTTCCAACTCAGAATATTCTGTGACTCTGTCAAGCTGGGTTTGTGCATGTTTCTCATTGCACTGTGGAATACCTCATGTAAAAAGGGGAATTATACATGCAAGAGCCTTCACCTGACTTTAACATTCCATGCAGTGAGAAGACCTCACCACTCACACATGTGTGAGAATGCTCACCTCACCCCACCATCCCCCTGTAGTTAAGAAATCTGGCACAAACTCCAAAAACAGCTGCTTCTCTTTCAAATCCAACACACTGAGAAGATGCTAGAAGTACTGATACAGGCAGGTTACATTTCACTGTACAGTTCTGCCTACTCCACAGCCGGTGGGCAATGGTGCAACAAGATACTGTGCAGGCAGATCAAGCAGCGCAGCCACGAATCCCAACAAATGCCCAAACAGGCCTCCTACGGGCTTGCACTTTAGGTATGGGTGGAAATACCCTTTCCCCCTCCTCCATCCTATTACTGCTGCTACTACTATGGGTTAACGGCTAATCATAATAAACCTGTGCCATACACAACTTCATCATTGTGAAATCATTCAGCACTGTGCAGAAAACCTGAGCTGTGATTCTTTCTATTATTTGCATCGAACAGGGATGGCAGCGTGAAAACATGCAGATCAATTCGTTCTCCATGCCTGGGTGCCTGGTTGCTCCCTTCCTCTCCCACCACAAAGCAGAGGTGGGGGAAGGAAGGAGGGAACACGAAAAAAGGAAAAGACGGCGAGGTGGGAAGAAGGCACGAAATCCGCTTCGTACTAACAACAAAAGCAATTAAGAGGGCCGGAAGGGAAGAGAACCGGCACCCTGGGGAGGTGGAGGAATGCAGCACCACAACTTGCCCGGGGAAGGGCTGACCGGGGCGGTCGGGTCGGAGGCGGCGGCAGCCCTGGCCTCGCACCCGTGCCCCATCTAAAATGCCCCCGCGGCCTCACGCCGGGCTGTCACTCGTCCCTGCCGCTCCTGGCCGTGCCCGGCCCGGCAGCGGCCGGGGAGGAGGAGGAGGAAGCCGAGGAAGACACGAAACCGACCCCACTTACCCAGAAAATGACATTGAAGCCGAAGATGAAATATTTGATGCAACAACTGACTTCAGGCCCCTTGTAGTGCTTTCCGGACATCCTCTGCGCTCATGAAGACGCTTTGCTCGCAGCCAGGGTGAGAACCAGAGGGGGAGGGGGAGAATTAAAAAGGAAAAAAAAAAAAAACAACAACAACAAACAAAAAGGAGAAAGACTAGGAGGAGGGGTCTGGGAAGACTAGGAGGAGGGTGGGGGCAAGACTATGAGGAGGGGTCCGGGGCCGGCGCGGCGAGCAGAGCTCAGGGCCGGCTCCGCGCCGCGGGGAGATGCGGCAGGAGCGGCGCAGCGGCGGGTCGGCTCCGACTTGCCGGGCGCCGGGGATGGCCGGCGAGCAGCTCCCACCTCCTCCTCCTCCTCCTCTTCTCCCGCATGGAGGAGGCCCCGGCTGCTCGCGGCGGGAGGCAGGAGAGAGCGACAAGAAGCAGGGCGGCCGCCGGCAAAGGCACCGCCAGGGCGAGATCGGCCCGGGCAGAGGCCGGAGCCGCGCGCCCCCTCAGCGCCAAGGGGCCGCCGCGCGCGCCTCGCCCCGCCCCGCGGCGTGATTGGCAGCGCTCCCCGCCAATCCGGCCGCGCGAGGGCCGCCGGCTCTGGGGGCGGGGCGGGAGCGGCCCTGAGGCTCCGCCCGGGCCGGGCGTGCCAGGCTGAGGGGCTCCGGCCCCCCGTCCCTCCAGCCTCCCTTTCCTTCGTCCGTTCGTCCGTCCGTCCGTCCGTTCGTTCGTTCGTCCGGCGGTCCGCCGTGACACAGGTCGGGGAATGCCGAGACAGCGAGGACTGGCCCCGCCTGGCACAGAGAACAGCGCTCCGTCAGCGGGAGAGCTGCCAGGAGGGCAGCGCCGGTTCGAGGCTGGCTGCGGTAATGAGGAGGAGCAAGACCGTAATAGATGGCACCGTGCAGGTTGTTCTCAATGGGCGCCGTCAGGTCGCCTCCCACATGATCTCGTATGCGCCACACGCGCAGGAACGCATGAAGAACCATTTTACAATGATCGCTAAGGTTTCTATTTTAACATCCCCTGAGTTTATATTGAACATGACAGCCACAAAGTTATGGGGCTTAGTTTTATTCATATGCTTTGGAATTCAGAGTGCACATAATCTGGCATTAACAGCATAATTAAGAGGTTTTCTTTGCTGAAGGATGTCGTCATTTCAATGGATCAAGTCTTCAAAGTTTCCTGGTCCATCTCTTAATGGAGTGGCTGGAGAGGAGGAGGCTCAGGGCTGACCTTATCACTCTACAGCTCCCTGAAAGCAGGTTGTGACAGGATGAGAGGAAATGGCCTCAAGCTGTGCCAGGGAAGGTTTAGGTTGGACATCAGAAGGAATTCCTTCCAACAAGAGGGTTGTTAAACATTAGAATGGGCTGCCCAGGGAGATGGCAGACTCGCCACCGCCAGAGGTGTTAAGTAAAGACTGGATGTGGCACTTAGTGCCACGGTCTGGTTGACAAGGTTGGGATTAGTGAAAGTTGGTCTCAGTCTTGGAGGTCTTTTCCAACCTAATTGATTCTGTGTTTGTGTGATTCTGCAAGTATAACTTTTGATTCAACAGATGGAAGATTTCTTTATAATAAAATACATTTCCCATCTTTACAGGATTGCAAGGTAACACACTTCAGAAACGTGATACTGATAGAACTAGAGAAGACAGTCTTAATTCAAGATCACATCATATCAGTTATGGGGCCTTGTGAGTCTTTTTTGAGAGTGAAGAGAAATATTTGTCTATTGCATCTGGTAGATGATGAGAAGAAAAAGCATCTGCTGAAATGGATCTATGAAAATAAGTGATGTTTTTGGTAAATGAGAAATTAACACATCTATACACTTCAACCATGACTGTATAGTTTATCACATGAGTATTATCCCTGTGTCTATTTTTAACACTGTCTTTTCAAGCCCATCCATGGGAAGAGGGTAGAAAAGGGTGAATAATTAGTCATGTATGTGTTCTGTACCAGTGGATAAAGGCACATCACCACTTACAGTAGGGTATGGTAATAATGTATTATATAAAGGTGCTGTTTTTACAAGTGGCTTCAAATATTGGTGACAAACTGTACAAACATTTATAATATCACTGTCATAACATGCTCCTAACATCACGTGTTTGCACCCTTTAGCATTTTAATTCTTCACAAGCAGGAGCAAAATATTGCAGAGTAATATTTATTATGATAAATTCAGTAATAATATCAAATGTTTTACCTATCAATCCATTAATTCCCAACAACTCAAAAAGAAATGCAACCTACATCATTTATAGCATCATATTTACATGAGTTCACTTGGTTTCTCAATTGAGCATAGTATTATTAGCCAAGTGTCCTTTTAGAGCCAAAAGCATTTCATGTTGTCCCATCATCTGATCAGCTTAAGGATGTCTGGTTGTAAGGGCTAGATTGCTCACTTGAAGAGGGTATTGAACACAGAACCCTGCTCTTTTTAATTCACTTTGTGTGTAATAAGCAAGCAGATAGCAAAGGCAGAAGAACAGCTTTGGTATAGGTAATTGATCTTTCAGAATGCCAGCTGTAGCAGAGCCTTCTGCACCTGCAGCAGCCTCTCTGAAAACACATTTTGCCTCCTGTCCTAAACAAACAGGGATTTAAAAAAATCCCCATCCTTCAGCTTTGTGCCATCTCTTGTGGATTGCTTCTTACATGCTTTGGGCACCTAGGCCTGGAAGCTGAGCAGGATGGCTGTGACAGCACTTTAAATTCACTGTTAGTTACCAGTCAACACTGAATTCTGCTGTGATGTTTTGGCACAAAAGCCCGAGGTGACACTAAGCAGGAGCAATATTACCTTTTCTTGCAGAAGGGCCAGACAGTTATTCAAATTCCATCAGTTCATAATTCATCTGCCAAGGCACAGGAGTACTAATGGGCGGTATTTCAATGACAAAGCTGGTTCTAGCAGCACAGTGCTTCATAACACCAGCAATGCTTTGATTTGCTGCTGATATTGAGATAAAGTCCCATCTGAATGACTTAATCTATTTCCCATCTCTAAGATGCAGATATAAATGGACTTCTTCTGACTAAAGACTGGCCAACTCTAATCTTAAGAAGTGTGTCAAGTTTGAGAAGTTCATATCTTAAAAGAGGTATAGTTGCGGACTCTGAAATTCTTACTTCCCACCAAGTAAAGGGTCCTCTACCCAATTCCTGAAATCAATCATTTCTTAGATCCAGTACTTCTGTCTTTGTGTCAGCTCCTGTTTTTTTGATCTATGAATTCTTTTACATTTTCCAGGGAAAAAGAAATGCAAGCAGGAGTGACTCGAGAAGAAAAATAGCAGAGCAGTACAGTGAAGGCTGTAGTTCCGTGAGTTATCCCATTGCCAATCTCACCTCGTGCTACATGCTCTCAGATAAATATCTGTGGTCTAAGAAAAGTTCAGTGTCTGTGTCCATAAGTCTTCTTACCTCCTAGACACTCCATTTTTTGGGGAATTCATAGGATAGCAGTCTTTTTCCATGGGGAAACCATAGAGCTTTCTGACAGACAAGATTCATAGAGTCAGAGGTGTTATCTAAATAACACACCAGCTCATCATGCCATTTGTGTTCATTTTATAGTTTTGTAATCATAAAACCACTTTGTTTTCTGCTTAGCAAAAGTGCAAGCACTGATGAAGGGACATTGTTTAGGTTTAGAAGGAATTCTGAGATAAGAATTTCATAGAACTAAACTCAAGTAGCGATACAAGTTGTACTGGCCTTGGTGGAAGTACATGCTCTGCCCCAGATGTGAACATGATTTCAGCTTCCCTCAAGACTAATAAGTGCAAGTACTGACTAATTACTGTTATGGGTAACACTGGTGAGTATTGAGCTGCTTTTTCATCTGAAACTTAGCTCTCAATACTGGATAATAATATCATCTCACAGGACCAGCCCAACATCATTATAATGTGATAACAGCAATGTTGTTAGGATGACTCACAAAGCATGAAGCGTGTCTATACCTCTACAGGGTTAGAGGCCAGAAACTGCAGCTAAGGCTTACTAAATAACAGCCAGTAACCAGCTGCATCGTGTCTGATTTTATTTTCTCAAGACAGTGTGTATCTGAGCCTTTATTTCTTTTTGTGTCAGGCACCTCGAGCTGCTGCATCTGCTCCTTGTGGGAGGAAGGGGTGGGAGTGGTGGCACGCTTCCTGCCCACGGCTGGGCTGTGCGGGCAGGGGCAGAGGAGCGCCCGGGGCTGTGGCTGCACCGCGGTGCTGCTTGGGGCAAACATCCTGGCACACAGCTCTGTTTCTGCACTGGTGCTGTGCCTCAGCAAGCCCCTCTTCTCGAGTTTACACAGCTCTATCTTATCAGGGATTAAGCCCCGACAAGTCTATACAACAGTGAAGCAGGAATTGTAGAACATACCTGGTCCATAGCTCACTGGCACGCAGTGGCTGCAGGTGTGGTTCCAAGCACTCATACCATCAAACTGGCTCAAAGGGCATTCATTATGAGGGAGTTATTACAACCATTTTATGGGCACGACAGTGACAGGGTTTAATGAGATAAAACACATGCATTATTCTACAAAAAGAGACACAGATTTGCAGTCCTAAATTAGGGATAACTGCAATCAGTGTGGGTAGTCACCTCCCCTTCCATTACTGGTGCTATGGACCATGGTCCTTAAAATGGATATAAACTTAGACTCCAGTAAGTGCCAAATTTATCTTTTTCACTTTTACTGCTAAAAGTACTGGACAAACTCTGCAAATTTGGAAGCTTCTCACTTCCCAAGCATGGGCTATTGCTTGTGTATACCTGAAGGTTCAGGTATAATTCTTGAAGATGCTCTGTCCAAAAGGACAACTGGTGTTTATCCAGTAACAGAGCACCATATGATCTTCTTAAGGTCCATTAGGTTTTTCAAGGCCCTCTGACTTGCTTTCAGTCATTCTTCATCATATAATACAGGACACATTCAACTCAGAGGTTTAACTTACAGTGTTTGCTCTGTAATACCACTCAGGAGAGTGACTGTTTCCTCTGAGTGTGTTTTTAGTGGTGATAAGATTTTCTGCAAATCCACCATTTTAAGTAATCTTTGAGAATGTTTCCCCTCAAGGGTTTCCTTTGCTCAGGCCTAAACCACCCAAGCTTCTCCCATCCTCCCTGTGAAGATTTTTGTTTCTCCTGGGAGCCTGGATCAGAGTTTACTGCAAGAATAATCCCTGAGGAATCATTCTGGCACCTCTTTCCAGGAACATCTGCAGACCTGTCAGAAGGTCAAGGAGTGCAAGCAGGTGGTGGGATGAGAGCGTGCACGACTGCAAATCTGGCTGTTGTAGGCTTCAAGTTGCTGCCAGAGTGGTAGGAAGGGAGGCTAGAAGAGCAATTAATCTCAAAGCCCAGTTTCTAGAAGAGTTTGCCACCATGGCCTAGCCAATAATTGAACTAAAAGGCATGGAATACCTGTTTGGTCAGCTTGGTCAGGAGTTCAGCCCCCAGACCTCTGTGCAAGCGGGAGCCTAAATTGTGTTGCTGAGAACAGAGTGGAAAAAGCCAACTGTGCAAAAAAAAAAAACTCATTTCAAATCCAAGTAACTTTTTTTTTCATTGCTTTTTGATTCAAATGGCTGAAGAGATGCTGTGGTCTGACTCTATGTCCCTGCCTTCACAGCAGAGAGCTGATCCAAAACCCTCTGGGGAGAGCAATGAGGTGCACAAGGGGTTCAGCCCCTGCTGGAGGAGGGCCCAGCAGTGCAGCCTGGCTACAGGGAGCCACCTCCCACCCTCTGCTGGGAGCAGGCTTGCTCATCTGAGCTATGGAAAGAGCAGTGACAAAAATAATGTCATCTCTGCTGTGACATTGGTGTCTCCTGTCTGTCAGACTGTACAACAGGGCCTCTAACAGTTTATTAGGACTGTGCAAGTGAGCTGATAATCCCAAAGGAAGCTTGGTGATACATTTAAGCTGATTTCTTCACAATTTTGTGTCTGGTTCTTCAAACCCACCATCTCTATTCACATCCAGTGACAGCTCCCACATAGCTGGATCAAAGATACCAGTTTCCTTTACCTTTGCTATTGACACTTCTGATTTCTCAGACGTTATGCAGAGCTGCCACAGCAAACGTAGCACTTGTATCAGCACTGGTGAACAGGTATTTTACAGCAGTATTCTGTATAGCTTGTATCAGTGGACCTGCTTAGGAACAAGGTAAATAAAATAAGTTTATTTAAACATTCCCAAAAGGCATAAAAGAGCACTACTAGAGTGATTACAAACCATGGCTTTTTGCTTCCCACAGTGTCATAGGAGGAATACACAATACCTGTAATTATGCTACATCTGACAATCTGGGCTCAGTAACAACATTCTGCTTGTGACAGGATCAAGTAGGACTTTGTTTCTCAACTACTTCCAAATGTGAGGTTGCTCTTCATAAATAATCTGCACATGTTACACTTCAGGCACCTGTAAAAAGGAAGCACTTCAAAAAATTTACAATTTACTTGTCTCCAAGTCCATTAAATGGAAATTTCTAAGCCTTTCTTACTCTCTTCTGTTGCATTAACAGAACCAGAATCCTTTCTGCAGATGAGAACAGAATAGCTACTAATATTCCTGTTGGGTCGAACAGTTACTTTTGAGGTCTGTTTATTCTGGGGCTCATCTCTGCTGAATGCTTCATTACCTGTGTTTCTCTGTGAGTCTTGATGGGTGGAGTTCATCTGAATTTCCTGCTCTTCCACCACACTAGTTAAACCATCAGCTTTTTTTTTTTGCTGTCATAGCGCTTTAAGAAAATTGAACTGTGAGAGACTGCTACTTAGAAAAGAAAACCCACCCCAGAGCTATTTCTAGATTCATCTTCACCTTACTATTTCATGTCTCATCATCTTTAGGCACATCTTTGGGCTCCCACAAAGGTGTTAAAGTGCACTAAGACTTCCAGGTTTGATATTTTAGATTATATTACCTTGGAAGCAGGGACAATAATTCACTCCTCCTTGTTCCTGCAAGTGGCAAGTGTAAAATGTCAGTGCTGTGACAGCAAAACAGCCAAAATAATTTTTAATTTAAAAACCTACCTCTCTCTTGTTTTGAACTCTGGATACAAATACATCTATAGACACATGATGTGAACCAGTAAATACAAGTAACAGAGTTGAAAATGTGAAGAAACTGATAAGGAAAACTAAAGTGGTATCTTCAAAAAACAGATTTTTTGCCTATTCCTCTTGTCTGCTTTCAGGCAGGAGAAATCTTCCTTTTGAAGTGGGTCTTCTTGCTCTGTATAATGTATCAGTCTGCAATCGTGAGGAAAGTTGGAATTTTTCATCCAGAAGTATTAATTTTTTGAAGATGTTGACTGTGGGCAAAATATTTTTTCTTAAAGGAAAGACATTGCTGCCCCAAATCACAGTGACGTGTATGTCAGTGTCTAAAAGTTTTACAGATTTTTATACCACCAAATTCACCAGATCAAGGCACGTGGCAGTGACTATTCAGGACACTATGATGCTGTATTCCAGTCTGAGTGATGAACTGTTAAATGTGCCCCACTTATGCATACACCTATGAAATAAGACTTGGTGAAAATTGTATTATACATGGAATGGAAAAAAACCCAAGGATGAGGAAGTGTTTCCTCTTTGTCTTGCAGAAAAGCTACCACAGCTTTTTCAGTAAGTTTCAAAAGTTTGAAATATTCATCATGAAGGTAAATCTGCTAAAAGCATCAGCTGTTTCAAAATGTTAAGCTATAAAGTGGGTGGGCAGAGAGTTTACAACGAGTCCACTGAGGGCTAAGCTCGGTCACTGAGCTGGGAACAAAACAGCTGCACGAAAAGGAGGTCCAGCCATCTAGTGGTAAATGACCTCGCTGTGCAGCCTGCTGCTGTCTGCCTTCCTGGGGATGCTGCACCTCAGGGCCAGTGTGCTCCAGACTGGGACAAAGGGACATTGCCCAGATTTTGATTGCATCTGTGCAGCAGCAGTCAGAGAAAACTTTGGGCAGTTTTCCATAATCCCATAGCAGAGAACACATGTCCAGTGGATATGCACAACCGAATGATGCAATGCACTGGTGTCCCACTTCACACATGGAAAAGAAAGATTTAAACCAAATTGTTGACATCTGAAACAAGAATGATGCAATCAAACAACTACACGAAGAAAACCATATGCTGAGTCCAAGCTGGAATGAAACATTTACCCATTAATTTATTGAGAGTGAATGTTTTATATCTTCTATGTGGTTACAAAGTAATAGAAAAAACATAACCTTGGCAAAGCCAGAAGAGACATCAAAACAGTAAACCATTAAATACTTCAAGGAAAGTTTAAAAACCAAACAATTTGTATGCCTGAATACGTCTCAGAATTGAGCAATATGCCAAAGCTCCCATTGCAAAAGTGATCTCACTGCTTAGAAGACCAAGTCTCCTTGAAAACAGTCAGATACAAGTCCTACAGGGCCTAGTTTGCAACTTGCTTGGGCACTCAAAGTAGGTATCCAGTGGGCTGGTGTAAGCAGTCTGGATATGAAATGATCATTGGTGAACTCATTTGACTGCTACTCAACACTTTTGAAATATCAAATTTTGTCCAAAGCACAGCCCTTTCTTGGTTTACAGACACATGATGCTGCATTGCAGCTTGTAGTCAGCTTCCAAACACTGGCCAAAGTGCAGTCATGGTTATACCAGGCATGGCCAGGTGAATTTGGAATAACTCTGTGAAACTCCAAATAGTTAACTTTATGCTCTGAGAATTTTTATAACTGCAACCAAAGCTTGGTTCCAAGTAGTTACCACAACATGAACTGATTGTAGCAGAAACATTTGTTCTTTATCAGAAAACACAGTACTGGAGGGACCACAGAAGATAAGGCTTCCCTTGAGGTAGGGGGATAGCCAAAGTCAGCTGAAAGCCACTAGTGTAGAAAAGAAATACAGCTGTGTCCTCCCAGAGTGGTATTAGCTACTATATCTCAAACCCTCACTTCTCTTTGTGAAAGGTTTCTGTTACTCACAGTGATAGCTAAAAAAAAAGCAGGGAGGAAACATCTGGCTACTACTTTGAAGTGGTTCTTACCATTGATTTCCCAATGTAACTCTAGAAAACAGATGCAAATTCATCAGGCACGTTTTGACAAAGTTCTGTTCTAAGGAGTATTTGGCCATGGAAAGGATGAATCTCCCAATGAGCAATTGTGCTCAGTTTTCATTTGGCCTTTTTCAAACATGCTCTCTTACCTGGCTAACAGGAGAAATTAACTGCCTGGTGCCTGAAACATTGTGTTCCCCAGTGGGATGCCTCACACCATCTGGCTTTACCACTTCCATTTCACTAATGGATCACATCTGATATTTGCATTGAATCCTACACCACAACACTTTCAGAGCTGTCTGAAAACACAGACTTTAGAAAGAAAATGAAGATAAAAGCTGTACTTCTCACTTCTCTGTTTTACCCACCAGGAAGCTGAAGCAACAGATAATGTGTAATGGACTTTCTTAAAGCATCTCAGTAAATCAGTGGCCAAGTTTGCTGCCTGTTCCTGCAGTCAGCAGTAAATAGGCTAGGGCAGAACACTGGACGTGAGCATCCTGCTCCAAAATCTGACAGTCTGCTTTTCCTTTCTGGTGAACAAGACCTCATCTTTGGGATGGAGTAGTACCCAAATCTGCATTCCTTTGTCATATGTTTTGGAGATGCATTGAAACAGGGTTATTTTTTAAAGACTTGAAAGTGGAATTTAAAAGCTGCTGACTTAAGAAAAAGGGGTCAAGAAGGAGAGCAACAGAAAAGGGATCAATGTTTTTGGGCAGAAAACATGGAAACAGCATCTCCTGCAATTTATAAAACACCCACTGGTGTCAGGTTGGAGTGGTTTGGCAATGAGTACACAATCCTGGAGACATTTGGGGCTCTCTGCACTCGGGGCACTGCTGCTGCCTCACTTTCCACTGCTCTGCAGGTCGCCTGCTGCGCTCTGCAAACACTCTCCTCTCCTGTGGTTATTTTTGAAGCAGCTCCTTAAAACAGATGTCCTCATATGTGTCTCTTTCCTGCTACACAAATAACACTTTGCCTCATGCTCCTGTCATCCTTTTGAACTTAATTTTAAAAAAGGGAAAAAAAAAAGGGGGTTAAGAAGAATATCCTTTCCCATTGGTGATTTCTGTTGTAACTTTCATGGCACTATCACTCTGAGGCACGTGAGTTGCTTTTGTACCCTTCATAGAGCAATCTACAAAGGTTTATTCTTTCTGGCCTTTCTCTTTGCCTTTCTAAAGATTCTTCCCTCTTTAGGCCCTTTCCAACTCTCCCTCTTCTCTTTCTCTGACTTCTGGATGCACTGCAAACACCCCAGGTCTCACAAAAACTTCCTCTTGGGTAATACTACTGAAGAATCCACATGTACCAGTTACACTTTGTCCTCCTTGCACAGTCGTCCTGCAGCTACCAGTACCATTGTCTGGCACCCAGGCACACCTGCTTTCGGCACCTCAAACTTCTCCCTTGGAAAGACTCACTCTCCTTAAATACTTTATCCTTGATTCTCTTGGTATTTTTCCTAAGGAAGCAAGTGGAATGTGTGCAGCTTGAGATGCAATGATTAAAGGAGGTGCTAAATTGTGGGAAAGCATATGAAGTAAAATACCCTTAACAGAACATTTGGCCTAAATGTTATTTTCTGGTACCTTTTGTGCACACAGGCACTGACTCTGCCAGCCTTGCTCACTGAGTAGGCAGGAAGTATCCCTAGGGGTTTAAAGGGAACTGATCAATAAGGTCCTTTCCATGAGTGGAGGAAGACAGCACAAGCCAGCAGAGGTGGAAGCAGAGGAATTACGTAAGTCTATGAACTTTGAGCTCACATGTGAAATCCCAGCTCTGAGAAAATCAGTAAGAGTTTGGGGATTTTGGCTGAGGGTGGAGAGGTTTTACCACACAGCTTATTGGGCAATGTTTCTACCAAAGTGCAAAACTAAACTAATTTGCAGAGCCAGAGGCTTCAAACAAGAGAAGAATATTCTCCTCTGTGTCCAAGGTCCTATGTACAATCAGCAGTGACACCCCTGGAAGCTAAACCAGGGAATTATAGTTTAGAAAATGCAACTTCTCAGAGGCAGCCCTGGTGGTACAATAGCATTCCTGAATAGCTGTTGTGACACTGTTGTTAACAAGGCCTCTGGAATGCCAAACAAGGTTTCAACAATTGTTAATCCCACTCAGTTTCGTTTGCTCCTTCCTAGGGGACTGCAAAATTATCAGGCTGTCCATTTCTACTCCTCCTCTTTGCCTGATGTCTGAGAGCAAGGAGCAAGGTCCTTCAATCTCCAGTGCCTGCAGAAGCTTTGTTACTGGTGGAACAGGGATTATAAAGAGGCCATAGTGTAGTGACAGAGTTTAAACTGGACTCATAAGGTTCAGAACTTGTTTTTTCAGTTTGTGAGTTTTTCTTTTTTTTCCAACCTTTCTCTCAACAGCCATGCTCCCCCTAATGCTAGAGAAGGAAAACAGCCTTCTCCAATTCAGTGCTGTGTAAGAGGAGATGGTAAGATGCTTGACACACAGACAGGCTTTGCACACCCTGTGGAGGTTTTTTAGCCTTAAGTCACATCTCCCAGCATGACTTGGCCAGCAGAAGAAACCGAAAATGGGAAGTGTTGCCTGCTAGGCACAGCTCTGTGCTATGCTGTGAACTCTTACACCTTTGCTGCTTCAGCACAGAAAATGGGTCACAGTTGTGATTTCAGGAGGAGGCCATTGGCCCAATTGCTCAATAGTGAGAAAGGGAAAACTTAAGCTGCTGTTCTGCCAAGAAAAAATCATGACCCAGCGTGATGTTAGCCTGAAGATGGACACTGAAGTTGCATACGCTGTGTGGTTCCAGATGAGCGGGCATGTTAACCACACCCAAATACTAAATCAAAACAGAGCAACTTAATTAGAGAAGATAAAGTAAAATCAAACATCCCCAGCCCCACAAAGCAGCCATGCTGGGAAACATGGAGGCTCCAGCCTCCTTATGCCAGCACATGAAGCCCATTGGCAGGGATACAAACATGGCTACACAGAGCTGGGAAGACACACTCACAGAGGGTCAGGTCACCTAACAAGAACATGGGCACATAATGATGGGAAATGGGGAACAGTTTTAAACTTAAATTAGATAGCAGGAAGATGTTCTTCACTGAGGAGGTGCTGAGGCACTGGAACAGGCTACCCAAGGCAGCTGTGGATGCCCTGTTCAAGACCAGGCTGGATGGGACCACCCTGAATTGGTGGGTGACATCCCTGCCCATGGACCAAGGAACACTCAGGGCAGCTGCAGTACAGCGTCTCCACCATAAACACTGAAGCTCTCAGCATGATAGGGAGAGAGCAAAGACAGAGAAGGTAGCAAAGGCCTCTTGGTGTCCTTCCCCACTGCAAGGGGCAGAGGTTTAAAATCTCCCACATACCTGTTTCAGGTACAACTCTAACATTTCACTGTCAGCACAAAATAGGAGAGGGGAGGAGGTTCTCTTTAGGTTGAGGGTGGTGGACAGTAGGATAGGACAGCTGCTGTTGCTGGCTCTCCATCAGCCCTAGGACATACATTCCTATCACCACCAGGATAACACATGCATTCCTATCACCACCAGGATAACACCTATCCCTCCCTCCCTGAACAGTGCAGAATTCACTTCTCTTTCCATACAGTCACCCTGGCAGGTGGGAAGATAGGCCAGGAAAACCCATCCAGGGTGGATGTGGCATTATGCCTCTGGCAATAGAAAGAGCTTGCTGCAGGTCACATCTCTCTTCACAGTTCCACAAAAGCCTGAGCCACCTCCTCCAGTCACCCTCTGTCCCCTGCTGTCACCAGCTGAGAGAAAAAAGACTAGCTTTGTTTTAGTTAATTTTAAACCAGTGAAAGCTGATTATTGCTTAGTAAGCCTAATCCATGCCTGCTCTCTGAACACAAAGGGAAAATATATATGTTTTCCTTTATATAGCAAAGAAGAATAGACTAAGACAAGAATCTCTTCAGAAACTACAAATCAGAGGACTTGGTGAGAGCTGTCCAATTTTATTCTCTTCCTTTCTAACTACCATTGCAACCAGGAGTTG